TGTATATATTGTTTTATTTTATGTTATTCTATTTTATATGTTTTATGTTATTGCAGCATTTCTGTTTTATAATGTGGATTCATTTCCTTGATTCCTTAATTATTGATAATAATAATATAATAATACAATTTATTTATAGAGTGACGTGTTAGGTAATAACTACTACTGGGCCCATATGATTTTTTTTGGAATATAATTTAGATATAACAAGAAAAAGAGATTGATTAAAAAAGTAATTGTTACACATTTTCTCTTGCGTGCAATTTCTTGGCAGTAGGGAAATTAAACAATTTTTCATTTTGCTTTGGAAATCCTGAAACTGTGACTGTGACTCTGACTCCCTGAGGTGTGTCCGACATCCTGTGTGTGTGTGTGTGTGTGCTTCTCAGTTTAGAACCTACTGTACTAACACAGGTGACACCAACAATACTAATTAAGATCTGTTCCATTTAGTGTAGCAGAGCCTTTCCAGTGAGCCAACATGCACAATAGCAGTACCTGACACTGTTTGACCTGAAAGTTACAGAACCTTAATGATTATTATTGGTAACACCTGTGTTTACCCTACTATTTCCTGTCAATTTTGTGCTGCTGTGAAAAAGGACTGTTAGAAAATAAACACTGTATTCAGTACTGTATATTTTTTTTTTCATGTAAATCCACACTGCTGAAGAACAATGACTGATCAGGATCAGATTGGAAACTGTCAAATAATAGTCTGTGGTGTAGTCTTTGCAATGCCATTATCATCTTCATGTTATTTTATGATCATTTCTACAACATGAACGTCCTGAATGATTTGCAGAAAATAGAAAAACATCACAAAACTCATTCAACAATGCGGTTTATTTAGAATGAACGAGGCAACATTACAGCACCAGTCAGAAAATAACATTCAGACATCACTTTAGTTCTGCACACAGAGAATGGTTCCAGCTTTTCTTTTACACCTTCAGCTTATTATGTGACCAGCTTATTCTTCTGTTATAGGCAGCAATGAAACTGAGCACCATTTGAACTGATAACAGAGACAACGTAAGTTTAACAGTCGGCTGAAGCAAAAGGATGTTTAAAAAAAAATGTTTTGAATATCTGCTCTGTGCAAAAGCCATTTTATTAGCATGTACTGCCACAGCTGCTGTGATAGTGTGAGGTTTAATAAGATTATCTAAAAATTATGCAGAACGATTATGGGGCGGCTGTGGCTCAGAGGCAGAGCGGGTCGCCCCCCAATCAGAAGGTTGTTGGTTCGATCCCCGGCTCCTCCTGCCACGTGTCGAAGTATCCTGAGCAAGATACTGAACCCCAAAATGCTCCTGATGCACAGCATGGTGTGTGAAAGGGTGAATGTGGCACGTAGTGTAAAAGCGCTTTGAGTGGTCGGAAGAATAGAAAGGCGCTATACAAGTACAGGTCCGTTTACCGTTTGCCATTATTCAAAAATCTGAAATGTTTGAATAATCTGCACTATTCAATTTCGGGAAATTAATTACCGATATGATACTGTATATACAGAGTTTGTCTTTAAAGGGATAATTCACCATGTTTAAAGGTGTTTTTTTTTATCCCTTTAAATCTCCAATGGACCTCTCAAATAAACTTGTTATACCTAACTTTAATTTGCTTTTCACAGCAATGAAGTCATGGTCAGCATCTGTTGGCTGGAACTAATCTACAGCTGTTCCAAATATATTGAAACTGACACAATCCACACACTCATATGGCATTTGTTATTTCAATTAAAGTTATTAGTTAGAATATTAAACCACATTTGGATTTGATTTAAAGATGCAACCAGTAATGCTGGATTTTTTTTCTCTATTTGTCCATAAAACCTTCCACATTTCAGATCTGGAAACTTGAGCACCGTCCTTCTAAGAATAAGAGACAGAATGGGTAACAGGGCCACATGGTCTTGATTTTCTCTGCTGACCAAGCCTTAAGGTAAGAGAGTGTGTGACAATAAAAATTAGCAGGTTTAAAGAAATGAAAAAGAAATGGCATGGGTTCCTTATTTCCTTTTGAGACATTTGATAAAAAGCTTTGGTGCACGCCCTGCTCGCCTCACCTCTGCTTCAACATCGACACCCTCTGCTCCATCATTTCACAGGCACCAGGCAGAGAGATAAAAAAAGCACTTATTTCTTTGGTTGTGTACTGTAGACACTTCAGACTCGTCTCCCAAAGGACTACGTGACTGAGGCCGCAAGACGCGACCTTTGCAAAGAGGAGGTAGCAGCTGTAGGTCTGGTAAAAAGGTCAGTTCTGATCCTGGTTCAGCTGTGATGAGAGCAGATCGAACAGGAGTGGAGCTGATGTCTGAGGTTGTGTTATGGTCGTAGCTGGGGCTGAGGTCAGGTTGATCTGAGAGCAGATACAACGACAAAAGAAATCCATAAGGCTTTGTCTAAAGGGAGATAAAAGTTCAAGGGTCTTTGGTTTTTAATATGATGGTTGAAAGTGGCTGAAAACGTACTTCATCCCAGATGCTTGTGGTGATGTTTTTCGTAGCCTACTGCATTGTTAGAACTTGTACCTGTGAGTGAAAAAGCCATCAACATGTCAGGTAGATTGGCGCTATTTCTGGTTCAGTAACAGTGCAGGCTCTTAAGTTGTCCATATTACCTCACTTACCTAAGTAGTCCTTGTAGTCCTTGAAGTATTTGTGCCTCAGACCACGTCCATCTGTAAATAAAATGGACAAAATGGACAAACTAAATAAAAAACAAGACATCTGTTCTCCAAATCTTACACACAGCACTTTGAATTCTTGCTTAAATTGAGATTGAGATATAAGTAAAAACTTTTGATTAAATCATCAGTTCAATATTTCTGTCCACAGCTTCAGTCACGGATCATAGGTTTAGGCAGTCCACTAAGTTGCCAGGTCACTCCAATTTGTGTATTATTTATAGATCTAATAGGAGAGATTTGGCACCTAACAGCATTTGATCTGCCAAGAGACACCAGGCCAGACTCTAAGACAGCTGCTGGCACAACCTGGCATCCTGTCTCTGTCCCCTGGTGCTTTATATGAGCACAAACTTAGGATAGAAGCAAGCAGGACAGTTGTAAAAAAACACTGAGATAGGAGATGATGTGTATTAAAGGCCTGGATTCAATGTCATATCACAGTCACATTCATTATGATCATTGAGCTATTTTATAACCAGAAGCATCAGCCATACCGGAGTTGCCACGTTGCTTAATGCACTGTCCCCGGTTAGGGATGCCAGCGGCAGGGTTTCCTGGGTTGATGATGTGGCACTCGTAGCCTGTAGGACAGTGGAGAGGTTCGTCTCCATCCTCAGTGGTGCTGCAGGCCTCAGCTAGTGGGGACAAAACATACTGTGCATTAGAACAAATTACACACATCACCATTACACACATAACAGAAGGGGGATATATGGTGAAATCAAACCAAAATGTGTTGAATGAAACCTGTTTTGTTTGGACTCACTGGGAAGAGGCTGGGTGGGATTACCATTTGAAGGCTGTGTGTGTGTAATTGTTGAGAATTTCAGTGAGATGGGAGCTAAAAAATGATGCAAGCCGAGAAGCTGGACTAACAAATTCTCTGACCTCAGTGACTGGTCAGGTATTTGTACTCACCCTGCAGAACCTCCTCAGGGCCGTCTAACAGCCAGCCGTTACCTCCCAACCACCGAGGCTTGGGTTGCACCAGCCAGTCCAACACTGTTCAGGTCAAAACACAAACAGGTAACGCAATACTAATTAACACAACTGGAAGAGGGAATCAAAAACAGACAAATTTCCATGAAGCTTCTGTTGTGAAGTCCTGAAAATGCTTTCACAGAATGACATAAAAAACAACCTTATATATTGCCCAAACTCATTTAAGGCACAATGTTACTATCTCTGACCCAAACACTATTGTGTGTGCAAACGTCTGTCTGTTGCTGACCTGGAGGCGGCTGGACAGACTCCAGGCAGGCGTAGATACAGCCATTGTAGCAGCAGCGTTTATGGCGCTCACACTCTGAGTCTGAGCGGCAGCCTGGCACCTCACAGGCTCTTTCTGGCAGCATCTGGGGCGGCGGTGGACACCGGTCATTCTTCTGGTGCTGTGTGGACTGAGGGTGGTTTGGGTATTCGTAGTCCTGATAGGCAGAAAAAGAAACAAATGTCCAATAAATAAATGAGAATGTGCAGTTTATGTAGTTTGTGTACTCCCTCTACATTTGGTCCATACAATGACTCTAAATATCAGCAGAGGTTCAGGGTCTATCAAAAACTGCTTTAGGCTCATGCCATAGTGAGGGGGTAAGACAATGAATAAACACCTGCAGGGAAGGGCATGTAAACACTCAGTGGATGATTAAAACTCAGCACATAAATCATTCTGCACAGTGAAGCTCAGACATCCAACTGTAGGAACAAGAGGAAAAAAAACATATTTTTGAGTGGAGGGAGCACTTTGTCGGAGCTCAGCTCTATCTCTATTCCTCTATCACAGTATGTTTTTCTAATGTGTCAAGTGCATTATTATAGGGAGTTTTCAGTGTTGCTCTTAACATGCAATAATATTTCCATATTTAATCACATAGGTAAATAAAAAAATAAGGCAACAGTAGGCCTAATAATAAAAAGAAATTTTTGCCTAATATGTCACTGTAGATACAGTAGTTACCTCAGTGCAAAGATATGATGAAGATGTTTATGCAAGTTCTGAAATTTCAGTTTTTTTATAAACCGTAAATAAAAAAAAGAACTCATTCAAAGTATTGGACAAATTAAAAATCTAACGTCATGGTGGAGAAAAAAAACCCTAAATATCTGTGCCAATCCAACTGGAAGATGTAAAGATTTTTCATAAGATAAGTGAAATTTTAGCATAGACTTTATCACTGGCATGGCCAAAAATTATTAGTTAGGACTGCACTTCCTGATGAGGTAATGTAGCGTAGGTTTACATGTAAATTAGACAGATGAGAGGAATTATATGAAAAACAGAAACTTTCCAGATCAGAAATTGCCAGTATTGGCCATTCTGGAAAGCAACAAAATAAAATTGTTAGTGTTTTGGTAAACTTCATGAAAAATACTTGTGAATCCCACTTTATAAGAAATTAACTAGATGTTCACACAATGTACATACACACATAGATTAAAATTTTTACCCACAAGAGGGCAGCAAAGGATCTGATCACTTTTCAGCACGGCAGAGCTACAGCAGAGACGGTGAAGGTTTGGTGAAGGTTTGGCTTTAGTATGCATGCCTGGCTGCTAACGTCTTGATCTGGATTGGGAAGGTGATTCACTGTGGGAACAAACACTTCCCTGGTGAGTCTGAGAGGGAGAAAGTAGGCCAAAGGACCCTGAGCCAAGCAAAGACACACTTCACACACTTCGACAGCTTTGGCAACATAAGTGTAGGCCTACGTGCACACTTGCACTAATACACACACAGCAATGCCCAAACTGTTGGTGTCTGCTCGTGCATGCTTTGCAGAGGCTAACATAATGGGATCTTTATCTGTGGTTTTATACCTTTTTCCAAGCTGTTGATCTATTGATTCATGTACTAGACAGAATCTGTGGGTTTATACTCTTTCACGCTGCTGCACAAGTTCTGTGCCACAGTATTAGCAGCCATTCATTGTTCTGGGTTATGTACACATGGGAAATGTTACAACAAAATCCCAAGAAGCACAGCTGCCCTTGACTAAACAATAACTCTCATATTTTCTCATACACAGTATTGGCTTTTGTATAACACTGTAGGCTATAGTGTGATCAAGTTTCCAGTTTATTCCTTTCTTAATTACTACAAATACCAATGAGCAATGTGTTGTTAATTGGCTGGTATAACATCACTTTTACAGCAACCACTGAAAAACATTACAAGGAACAATTTATTTAATTAGGATATTGTTTTTATTATTGGAAATTTGTTGTTACGTAAATATTTTGATTTTTAATGAAAAAAATCATTTTTGATTCTGAAGTAATCCAAAAGTCATGTGGGTGCATTTCTCTGACTTTTTGCATTGGGCAGGGTGTCCCAGGGAGAAAGAGAGAGAGAGAGAGGCATGGAGGGAGACAGAGATGGAGGGATAGGTGTTTTTTTCTACACTACATTAGTAATTAGATAATCAGCTTGTGGGTTACACATGGTCATTAAAACTGTGTTGTTTGTTTGGCAGACTTACTGAAAGCTCTTACAAACCAACCAGAAAAACCAAAGCGAATGTTTGGCCCCGAAGTGCTATCACTCACGTATGTGTGTTCACTTTTAAACACACGTTAACTCATCCTGGCAGCTGCAAGCTTAGTGGGTGGATGGGTTTTGGACATGGGAGGAGGAGGGTGGAATTACACCATGCAGGGATGGAGGGAGCAATGTATGGCTCTTACAGTTGTAAAAGTTACTCTGAGCTCTTACTGTCAGTAGTTAGGGCAGTTTTTTGTGAGTTCCGCGGCCACTGTCTCATTCCCAGGCCATTTGAATTACTGAAAAATGTATTGTTTCATTATTGGTACAAAAATCCTTGTATCGCATTGACACCGGTCTCAAAAACCTTCAAACAATACCCATCCCTAAACACTTAACCACCATGTTTACAGCTTCTTCTGCTAGTACACTACAGGTCTTATGCTCTCAAGAGGTGAATGGAGCCATAGTGGTTCACAACGTCTCCTGCTACAATTATATGTATGGATGAGGACTACAAAGTCTGCTGTGACTGGATAATGACATAATGACTGCTGCCTGCTCCACTTGTCTCATATCCGATCTGCTCCTAAAGTCTCCTGCAAGCGTCTCCAACAAAAGGTCAAGTGTACTCTTCCTGTTTATGTGGCAGCGTGCGTAAAAAAGTGATTTTGCTTGTACATAGGAATAGCCTACCCTACAGAAGCCATTCATTCATCTTTTTCTTTTATTTATCATCATTCAGCTCTTACTGCAACTGCTCCTCTTGTGTCTTTTGGTCTTTATGCCAGAAGGGCCGCCATGCTCTACATACTGAGCTCTATCGCACAATCCTGCGCACATCTCTCTGATGTCCCACATTGTTTATTTACACTTCTGTCTGCTCTCCTGTAGACACTGCCAGCGGGCCCAGTGTGTGATGTTCATCTGTGGGCATGTTTTCTCGCTCTCATGTCTACCTCCTTGATTTTGTTCCTCTCTCTTTCTTCCTCTCTCTTTGGTGTGGCAACGCAGTGGCTGCAACGACTGATTCCAAACAGCTCTTTTTCTCTTTTGGTCTGTCTTTATCTGTCTCCCGTGCTCTGTGGTTAATGGGGAGTTTGTGGGGAGAAGCCACTGGAGACCCTGTCTGGCTTCATAACTTTACTAAGATGAGGCCGTTCTTGGTTCCAGAGATTTTAGACTGATACTGAGATTTTCTGCTTCCTTTGCGCATGCACACAGACAGGCACACACATACCTGAAAACACACCCAGTCTCAGACATGTGCACTACAAGGTTCAGCACACATATGCACAAACAAGGAAAAACTGTGTCAACTCCAATGTGCCAGATCTTCCATGTCTACTAAATGAAGTAGCCCAAAGCACACATCTGGTTAGCTTTCGGGTTGTCAGTACTCATTTCCTGTCACTATACCAACAGTCAGTTTGACAAAAAGCGAGACAGACATGCAGATAGACGGAGACACAGCAGGCTAAACTGTGAGGCAAACAGACAGCCTGTAAATCAGTTGGACGTGAGAGTTTCAATGAGAGATCGGAAGACATGCTGACAGAAAAACAGGTAGATGCACAGTTAGGAAAAGCAGTCCTTGAATTGTGAACATACTGGCTGAGCAGCGATGTCTAAGCTTGAAATGCAGATGCGCCAACATGAGGTGTAGTTTACACAGCAGGACAGAAGTAATCCAACTGTGAATGTAGCTAATTAGAGTTGGGAAAACAGTCTGAAATAGCATCTGCTTTCTGTCAGTCATAACTACTACTACCTACTAAGATAGTAGGGACGGCCATGATAGAGGTCATATACTGTATTACCCTTCTATTGTCTGTCTGTAGTCCTGCAGCCACAACAACTAATGTGTAGATAGATAGATTTCCTGTAACTTGCATCAATAAAAAACAGTGGAACAATTTCAATATCAGTTTTAAATTTAAGAAGAACTGTGTCTGCATTTTGGTATGCAGAGTTATGGATACAAACATGTCTGTGGTCTCACATACTCAGATATCAATTTTCTCTCTGTTGTTGTTGATGATATAACATGGAAAATCACTCTGCTGCCAAATAAAAAGAATGTCTGGAACATTAGAGGTTCCAGGTAAAAAAAACTGAAGCAGCTGATGTGGAAATGAGTTTGTCTGTTTGGCTTGTGTGTGTGTGTATCTATGGTATTGAGCAGCGATCTACTCCAGCGTAAGTCCAGTGCATCTGACCAGCAGACTCACATCATCTGACTGGGATTAGTCCTGCTTAGAGCTGCACAGACCAGCTCACAGATCTGGTAAACTGGATGACTGACTGACTGCAATAACTCCTATATTTCCAGAAATCCATACTCCCAAAATTCACACATGAAAATATTTCCTTTTTCCTTTTCCTTTCCCCAATAACTCGCTAGCCGACCAGTCAGTCAAAATAGCTTCTGCAGCTTATTTGCTTTATTTTTCTGTTGTTTTATTTAATCCTCCCTTGCATTTGGTTCATAAACTACGAGACTTACCTCCATTTTGGACTCTCTGGCTCTCCGTCCCTTGATAAGTTAGCTCTTTCAGGACAGCCTGCTATTGTTCAGCAAATTCATGGGTCAAATTCACCACAGTTGAACTCGCATTGGGCATAATTTACGTCCCCTCAAAGAGTCAATCCACTAACAATGATTCCATAATGCACGTAATCTCGCTGTTTTAAACGCCGTTGTGAACAGGCCTTTATACAACCAATGCTTATGCTTGTACTGCAGTTGTCATGCATTCCCAGAGTTTGTCAACTCTCAGCCTTAAACTATTTGCTGATGACCTAAAATACATTCCTCTCGCTGAGCAATGAAATGTTGGGTGGATAAGTTTGTGCAACAGCTAACGGACCAAATTACACATTCCAGCTCATCATCACAAACAAACTTTACCACTGAAACTGCTTTCAGCATTTCCCCTGATAGTAATAAAACAGGACAGTCAAGCAGTGCTGTGTGTTAGTAAATAATTGTGTAATTCCGTTACTTTAAGTCAATACAAGCCATTGCAATCAATCTGCCACTTTAAAACCCCTTCAATTCAATTCATGACATGGATCTCAAGTTTTACTCTTCCTAATAGCATTAGGTGCCATTACATAGTGTAAACTAATTTTGTCTTTCAAAGGTATCACTTCCTTAAAAACTACAAATTCCCATCAGTGAACAAGCAGTGTATGGACCTGGGCCTGTTCTGTTTTTCATAGTGGCCCAAGGCCAAGTCCAACTGCAGCCAGCCCAAGAACAGGAAGTACACATTTCTGAGCATCTGCAGGGCCCCTGACTTACCAGGTGCTCTCTGAATGGTCCACATCACATCAAATAAATGAAACTGTAAAGATTTATGATGGTAGCCAGTAGACACTGTTCGTGCACACTGACATGCCCCGGCATGTGTCTGAGCCAGACTGTGTTATGGCTGTATGAGACTAAATCATCTGGTCTGTGTATGTGTATGTATGTGTGTGGGGGTGTGAATGGAATTTGTGAATCAGAAGCAATGATTTGTAAAGAGACAGGAATTTACACATTTATAAAGTTGTGGACAGAGGTGCATCTCAGACTGTGTGAAAAAATCTTACTTTTAATTTGTACTTTTCACTTATATCTCAGACATAAGAAACCACTTTATAACTCATACATGATAGTGTCTAAAATCATCAAGATAGTTCCTGAAAAAAGTTAACTACAAGCTGCCATACCATTAACTTGTTGTCCTGATTAGTCATTTTGTCACAGAAACATGTGAAAAAGTTACATTTTAAGGCCTCTGTTATTACCATTTCTGTCACACTCCTTTTCTCTTTTTCTTCTGCTGCCCACGCCCCCACGTTCTTTCATCTTCCCTTCAAACAACATCTCTTAACTGTAGGATTTCCCTCTAATGCCTCTTCACTTTTATTACATGCCGGATATTATTTAGCAGGTGTTTTCCCCTGTTAAACACAAAGAGGAAATTAGGAAAGTGCCACTGGTGACCTTTAAACCTTGTGACAGGGGGAGGTTTAGATAAGAACAGATGGACATAACTCTGATCCCCAAGACCACCTGACCCAAAGGTTAAACAGAACCTGTTTTAAAAATATAAGTTTTTATATCTGCAGATTCTTTAAGGTAACAAATCTACACAATCTCTAATCAAGCATTTGGGAAAGTCTTCAATATGTTGATAAAAGTACCTACTTATAACTGAGCACTGACTTAATTCAGTGTACATTACATAAATAAATATGGAGAAAAAGGGCATTCAGAGAACAAGAAGGAAACAAGGGCATGCTGGTGGCCTCGGGTTTGTTATACATTTTTACCAATTTTCCTTTCAAGACACACTATTCCATAGTACAGTGCCTACATGAAATACCCAATGACTATAATTTGTCTTTCTGCATGGCCCTGGTGTTGTGAATGAGACTGAGGGTGTGTGTGTATATGGTGGTTAAAAAATGAAAGATTGAAAGATGCAGAGATGAAAAGGTTCAGAGGGAAAGAGACAAACTCCATCTGCACAGCCGTCTCAGCATGTTCCAATTACAGCAGCTTTGAAGCAGAGTCCAGCAAGACGGTGCTTTTGGCCCATCCTGAGAGCGGGAGGAGACGAGAGAAAAGAGATTTGACAGAGGAAAAATGGGGGGTGGTATGCTGAGAGAGGCACATGGGCAAGGGGAAGGAAAAAGCCGGGCAGAGAGAGGGTGAAAGGGTAACTAAATGATTCATATGAGAGAGGGGAAGAGAGATAAAGGCTGAAAATGAGAGAACAGGGTCAATGAGGGCATAAACCACTTAGAAAGTGAGAACATTGAAGCACGAGAGGTTACAGAGAGAGAAAAAGAGAGAGAAGGCAGCACGCTACAGTGAACCCTTGTTAGAGATGATCAATCAGCTACACTGAGCTGAGTTAACAAGCAGGGGCCCGGTCTGCAGTTCAGTTCCTGCCCTAATAATCCACTACAAACACACACAGACACACACACACAACACACAAAGACAAAAGTTGTACCTCCAGTGTGCCCTTCAATTACTCATATGGAAACTTGAAAATCAGCGACTCAGTCTAACCCGTTGCACACTCTACTTTCTGCTCCTCATCAAAACTGGAAAACCAAAGTGTGTCTACTCCCAAACTGTTCCAGCGGTGGAAGAAATTCTCAGGTCCTCTACTTAAGTAAAAGAAGCAATATCACAATGTAATAATGCTCCCTTCCAAGTAAAAGCCCTGCATTTAAAATTTTACATAAAAGTACAGAAGCATTACCAGTAAAATGCACATCAGTAGTACTCAGCAGAATCTCCCTGTCAAAGTGCTACATAATTACATTATTGCATTATTATTAGTAATGCATTAACATGTGATCAGGATTTTTATGTTGTAGCTTGTAGCTAATTTTGACTATTTTATATACTTTATATACTGGTTTAATCTTTAACAATGCATCATATCTTAAAAGGTGGTCATATGTTTTCTTTGTAAATTCTTAATCTGCAACCCAGCTAATAAATATAACTGTTAAATACATGTAGTGGAATAAAAAAAATATACATTTCCCTATCCCTTAAGCATAAGTTTAAAAAAAGTAGCATAAATAAGACATACATAAGTAAAGTTACTCAAAATCTCACTGAATTATAGACATTTGTTCAGTAAATATAAGCTTAGTTAACATAAAGACTGGAAACGGGGAAACAACAAACCTGTTTTTTAATCCCGACAAAAAAAAACATAATGAAAAATAACAAGCTGTGTTGGCTATGTTCTGGATGTCACTGCTCCCAGCCAATAAATAGTCCGGCACATGACCCCTGGTAATACAGTTTTTACACAAAATGTGATATAACGTGTTAATTAGTGAGCTGATAGATGGATTTTATTACCTTCAGACAGAGCAGAGCACAGCTCGCTACGGTTTTGTTCAGTTTGATGCTAAGCTTAGTAAGTAAGTGGTTGGCTGTTACTTATTTATACAGAAGAATAGATTGATATTGGATCCTCATCTAACCCTTGGCAAGAAAATAAGCCTAAATGTTGAACTATTTCTTAAAGAACACATTGGTGAATGCACTAAGTTCTTTCCATTACTGGATTAAAACACTCCCTCCAGGTCAACCTGATCACATCTCACCTCAGCCACAAAACTGTGAAACCAGCTCTCTGAAACAGAGCCGGTATTGTACTGTGAGCTTTCACCTACTTCCACTTTTGAGGATATTCTGAAAACAGACATAAATCAGAGATAGAGAAGAGCCACGCACTCATACGTGCACACATAAAGTTAAAGGTGAGGTTAGCAGCCCCACCTTATGGTTGAGTCCTCTTTTCTTGATTCGTCTGGCATCACTTCCTGTGGACAGGACCAACAGGGACAGCACCAGCACCACAGAGCCCGGCATGGTCCGTGTCCTGCACCCCAACTCCAAACTCTTTCTGCGTCTCCCTCCTTCACCTCCCTTCCTGTCTTGGAGGTATTCCTTCTTCCTCCCCTTATTCCAAAGTTTGTCCTTCACTCGTTTGCGGGTCTTCTGTTATGTTGCCTTTCCAGCTGAAGCAATAACTCTCCGGTGCTCATGTGAAGCCAGAGATTACACAAGCCCTCTCCCTCCAACGGGACCTACCTTTATATCCGCCTGAGGAAAAAGTTCAGGGCAGAATGACAGAGTAGAGAGAAGGAAGGGGAAAGTACAGAGGGGATGAATGGAGGCAGTGTAGGGAAAAAACGAAAGGAGAATGGTTAGGGGAGCAAAAGGAGGGGAAGGGAGAAACAGCAGCTGTCTGTGCATCAGTTGCTGAGAGCTGAAACTGTCTGCTGGCCCAGCGTGTGCACATGTCTCTGGGACAGAGGAGGGGAGAAGAGGGGTGGGGAGGGGGGCTGAAAGGAGGGAGGGGAAAGCGTTAGAGAGGGCAAAGTGTGTGAGACCTCCCCCTTGCCCCCTTGTTGCATCTCGCAGCACATCTGGTGATCTTTATGCGAATTTGACAGAGCTGTGTCAGTGTGCGGTTGGGACATATTTTATATTCTGTGGCTTTGCTTCACATGTTTTGCTTGCGTGCGGTATTGTAGGAGGGAAAATAAATGGTTTTGCTAAGTGTGGGGTTTGGACATACTTGTTGACTGCTAGCCTGGAGTTTGAGCATGCATTTTAACTATTAACCGTTCCCAACATCAGTGTTTACATTCCTGATTTCTCTTAGGGACAGAATGTGCATGATTTATCTGACACTGTTGCACTCAGAACACACCTTAATGCGAATGAATGTGTGCATTTCCATGTTTGTACAGTCCTGTGTCAGTATAATATTTTTTGGAGAGGATGCAGTGTGATTTCAGTGGCATTGACCCATAAAGAATGAAAGCATGTGGTGTGTTTCAGGGAAATGGGCCTCTCTCTCTTTCCCCATCTTGTGCTTCTCTTTCTTTTTCATGTCTTCCAAGTTGTGCACCCTTTGAAACTAGGACATCTTCCCCCTTTTTCACCCCCCCCACCTTACCACTAGACCTTTCTCCCCTTCCCGTTCCCTCCCCTCACCCCATTCTCAGTGTCCTGCACTGAAAGGGAGAAAGAATGCTAAGCCCGCACAAATCTCAGTCATTATTAGTTTTACAGGAGCAGGGCTCATGTCACTGGGAGGCCCCTGCTTCACTTACACAAAAGACAGAGTAAAGAGTTAGAGTGAGAGAAAAAAACGAGAGAACAGAAAAAGGGGGGGGGGGGGGGGGGGGGAGATATAGAGATAGTGGAAGAGTGCAGTGGAAGTGACTGCATGAATGAATATGTGTGAAAGACTGAGAGATGAGCCTGCCCATTACTGGAGGTTTGGCAGCATCATCGTCATGGTGCTGTGCAGAGGTGCATTTAAAGGAACAGTGTGTAGGAAGGATTTAGTGGCATCTAGGAGTGTAGCTGCTGATTGCAATGCCCTTGCCTCACCCTCCCCTTCCAAGCATGAAGGAGAAACTGCGGCGGCTGCGAAACTCGTGAAAAACACGAATAGATACGAAATATCTAGAGCCAGTGTTGGGTCTGTCTGTTCTGGGCTACTGTAGCAACACGGTGGTTCAACATGGTGGACGCCGTAAGAGACCTGTTCCCCCTGTAGATAAAAATGGCTAATTCTAAGGTAAGAACAACATTTCTTATTTTTAGGTGATTATACACAATATGAAAACATACCATAAGTATACCTAAACTACATTAATATAGCAGCAAACAATTATTTGCTATGTAAACATACAGTGGACACTCTCCATCTATGTTGCTATCACAGCCTCTCTCTGGTTTGTTTACATAGCCCGTCTGCTCCATATGATGTGTGTTCATGAATATTTTCACATCTAACTCGATAAATTGAGGGTTTATTTTGACCAAACCAGCACTGTTTAATCCATTTATTACAGTTTTACTCTTGTAGTTTTGGTTTTGGAAAGGCTAAAAATATACCAACTCTTTACATATTGAGTTATTATTAAGTTAAGCTTTACGTACTTTCAGTGCAGTGCCTATAGTAGTTACAGTTGCTAGGTTTGATTAAGACAACTGGTTCACAGTCAAACATTTTCTGATCATTTGTTTAAATACTACATTATCAGGGCATCACAGAGAGTTTTAAAGCAGAACATTGCTGCCAACATGTAACTGTCCTATATTTGGCATTTCCCTGTGCTGTTATCAAGATACTTTTAATCTAGAAAAGACCTTACTTTATTGAAGATTATGCATCAGAAGAGAACAAACAGAAAAACAACTTAAACCATTTGTAGTACTAATAATATTGCTGCAGTCACTAAAATGTGTGTTAGGTTTTAGATGTGCCTGGAGTGAAATGAAATTCACTACAATAAAATCAATATTTAGCTCTGTGTTTTATTATCTTGTTAAGTTTGTAACTGTACCGCACCCTGAGTTATCTTAAGTTCTTTTCATGGGGAAAAACTGCAGCTGTACAATTTCCAGTCTAATACAGTGCTAATATTCCCAGACGTATGTATGTATGTTCTCACATACATCATCCATATCCTGCCCCCTTTCTAAATCTGGAATGTATACATGAATATCAAATAAACTGAACAATTGCATTCATGAACCAGATAAGGGCTGAAACATTCACACATTCCAGCCTACACATACTGCAATTTGAAGTGCATGCACACACGCACACAC